AGGTCTGTAATTGAACCCACACCTGTGGCTTCCAGCCAAACAAAAGACAGGCATATGAGGTGAACATTTACACTAGGTAGATACACTCCTTGGAGAGAATAGAAGGGCTGTCTATACACAGGGACATAGCTCAGGGGGCAGGAGTGCATGGAGGGAAGGACACAGGGAAGAGGTAACTATTGGGAGGAAATGGGAGGGGAGCTGTTGAATTGTGATAAATTGTAGTCAACGTCATGAGACAAAGTGTATGTGAACTGCTGTATGGAAAGTGAATTTGCTCTGTAAACTTTCACCAAAATCACAATTAAAAGAAAAAAAAGTTTGGCTATTAAGAAGAGATAGCAGGACTTTGAATCAAGGGGAGGTTTTATTTTGTTTGTTTTGCCCCCATAATAAGAGAAACCCGGGCATGTTTATAGATAGGGGAAAAGAGCCAGTTGAAGATAGAGGAAAGAAAGGGGATAATTCATGATATGAGGTTCCAGAAGAAACATGAAGATACTAGATTAAGAATATTGGTAGAGGAATTTGTTTTGAATGGATGTATAGGTCTTGGGGGTACCACTTATCCTCTAAGACTTGGGGGAGGAGGTATGGATAAGTGAATATTTAGATATAGTTGAATAATTGGGGTAAAGGATAAGAAATTGAAATACTTTGTGCCTAAAAATGTTAAATTTCTCACAATAAGGAAGGGTGTTGTAGAGTAGAATTCAGCAAGGAACTTCAGGAGGGTGTTAAGTGTATAGGATAACCACTGAGAAAAATGAGGGGGAGAGCTGGTTGAGGACAATTGAAAGGATTATTAAGCTTCATAAGGGCACAGCTGAAATTGGCAACCAAATCTTTGGAGTGGTACCCATTTGTACAGTTGTGCATTTTTCTTCAGTTCAGATGTAGGAGCAGAGAAATCAAATTATAAGATTGTATCACTTGGAGTTCTACTGATTGGATGGATTGCAAGGGAGTTAAGTATGATTGGCAGTGTGGTATAGTCTAGATAGGGAAGTAAGGCCAGAAGCATGCTGATAAACTTGAAAATTGAGTTTAAAGATGAAGGAATCAAGTGTTTAAATGTCTGAAGTTGAAGAGCTGGGTGCCAGGTAGTGCCAGGTAGTACAAGTGTGAGGAGGGTGGAAGGATAGGAAGCTATAACAAAGAAAGGATAGTAGAGTAGATTTCAGTGATATTTCAGTCCAGGTTATGATAAAGTCTATTGTATGGCTGTTG